GGGGACACGCAGTTGATCAGTGGCAGAGCCAAGCACCTACCCCAGGTCTCCTGAATCCCAGCCTGGTGCATTACCCGCACCCCGTGCAGGCCTCTCCCACCCCACAGAGCACCCCAAGGGAGGTGCCTATGCCCATGGTGTGGAGGCAATACTGGGGCGGGGCGGGGCGGGGCGGGGAGTGCCCTACCTGGAAGCCCTGCGGCGTGGCTGGGTGCTCCGGGGGGACTTTGTCGAGTCCTGAAAGGAGGCAAAGAAGTTACCCCCTGGGCACCCACCTGCCCCCACCAGCTCAGCCCTCGGCCATCACCACACCCCAGGGTCCCAACCCGACCCCTCCAGACATGGCCTGGTCTGACCTGGTCCTGACACCACCCCCCACACACTGAGCGCCCCCGGCCCTGCTGCTGCCGGGGGGGTGGGCTCTGGAGAGAGCCCAGGCCCAAGCTGTGCCCCGCTGCAGAGGGAAGGGAAACCCCCCCGGCTGGGCCAGGCTGTGCAGAGGCAAATCCCTGCCTGCCCCCCAAGGCAGCATGAGCAGGGGGGTCAAGAGCCTGTAGCCAGGACCCTGAGGGCCTGAGTCCCAGCAGGAGCACCTAGTGCCTCTGGAGGGGGCTTGAAAACCCCCTGACGCACAGAGCTGAACTAAAGCTGAAACCCTAGCTGCTGCTGGTGATGGGTCCTGAGAAAGCTAAGGGGTCCCCAAAGCTGCGGATTGAGAGAGAGACCAGGAGCAGGCAGCACAGAGCAGCAGGGCCCTGAGAGGCCGCTGAAAAGGAGAGAGGTGGGTTCACTCCTCTGGAGTGAAGAACAATTGGTCCTTCAATCCACTGGGGTGACAGGGAACTGCGTGGTATATACAAGAAATTATGGTAGCAGCCTGCAATGCGGTCCAGGCCCCCCCACTGCCCCACCAAGGCTGCAGCCGTGTCCGTTCCCCCACCCCACCACCAGCTCCCAGCCGCTCTGGGCGTGTGCCAGCCCTGACCAGGCGTGTGCTGCAAGCTGCACATGTCAGGAAGGGGAAGCAGCTGCCCCTCCTGATGCTTCCCCAGGAAACATGCAGGGGTCACCTGCATCTCGAGCTCGCCAGGGACCCCCGCCCCCAACCTCAGGCAAGGCTGCCCCGGGCCAGGTCTCTGGCAGGGGGTGCTGCCAGGCTAGGGAAGCCCCCACCCCAGATCTGGGGGACCCCCCCCCCCCGTCAGCCATGGATCCAAGCCAGATCACAAGGCTCAAATGGGACCCAGGCATCCGGCCGCCTGCGTGCACCCCATGCTGAGGGGGCGAAGGGCCATGCCCAAGGCTGCTCCGGCAGTCAGTGGCGGAGGGGAGACCCCCACCAGCACACACTCACCTTGGAGAAGCTGAAGCTCCTGCTAAACCACCTCCAAGCCATAGCTGCTCTGTTCCCTCAGCCCCCCAATACCCCTGGGGCAGGACCCCGCCAGCACCCAAGCTCCCGCACCCGCCTCAGCTGGCGCGTGGCAGGCGGCGGGCGGACGTTTCTCCCTTCCCCGAGCCCGCCCGCAGGGAAGTCAGGCAGGCATCAGCTGACGGGACCTTGTCACGGAGCCGCTCACGGGGCAGGAAGGGGCACAAAAGGACTTTCACGGACCCAGCCCTGCCCCCCGGGTCTAGGGAAACTGAGGCAGGCCCCAAGCAACCTCCCTGCAGGGCCTCAGAGCATCCTCCACATGCTGGAGAGGGCAGGACTGGACCCAGGCTGCCAGGCTGGGGAGGTCACACAGGCAGAGAATCAGGGCCAACCCCCCCCAACCAGTCTGGCCGTCCACCATGCCCATGCCAATGCCGGGACTCATCCCCACAGGGCCCTGGCGGGAGGCTCTTGCCCCTCACCCATGATGTCTTGTGGGGGGGCGGGGAACAGGCAGGGACCCCACCCCCGACACAACCCCCATACTCACCAGGGCATCTACATGCTTGGGGGTGCTGTCCCCGTTCGCCGACTGCAGGGAGACGGAGAGGAGAGGGGTAAAGCTCTGGGCTGGATGTGACCCTTCCCCTGCACCCCCCAGCACCCCGAGACCCCCCAGCTCTGCAGGGACTGGCTCCAGGGAGCAGAGATTACCCCACTCCCCCGCCATCCCAGTCCAGCTCCAGCTGTAGAGACTAACAACCCACTGGTGCTCATCTGCATATATGCAAATGAGCAGGACTATTTTCCTCCAGTACAAACAGGGGCTGTAATGACCCCATTAATGACCCCGTAGCGCAGAGGTTTTGGCTGCGCAGGGAGTTGACAGGCAGCTAATGAGGACAATAATGAGGTTGTTAATATGCAAGGAGGGGTCTTGATTACGGGGGTGCACACACATGCACACACGTGTGCACATGCACACACACACGTGTGCACATGTACACACACACACACACACACACAGAGGGAGGGCTCTCGGCAGGCGGGATCGTGGGAACCCTCCCAGCGCGGTGCTGGCCGTGTGCCACGGTGCTCAGTGCCAGGCCGGGGCCGCGCCCAGGGCTGTTTGCTGGGAACACAAACACACACAGCACCGCAACACACACAGGGGGACGCAGGGTGCCCTGCCACACACACACAGCACCGTGGCATGGGTGCATGGTTTGCACAACATGCACACACCCAGCACCAAGAGCACCACAACACACACCCTGCCACACACACATACAGCACCGCAACATGTATACACAGCTCACCACAATGTACACAAACCCAGCACCACAGAGACACAGAGCACCACAACACACACATAGGGTCTGAGAGGCACCACAACGCACCCTGCCACACACGCACAGCACCGCAGCGTATATACACAGCCCACCACAACATGAACACACCCAACACCGCGGATACAGAGCACCACAACGCATGCCCCACCACACACACAGCACTGCAACATGTATACACAGCCTCCCACAACACACACACCCAGCACGGCAGACACCCAGCACCACAGCGCACACATACAGCACCGCAACATGAGTGTGGCAGAACATGTGTCGTGGTGCTCTGAGTCTGTGCGGTGCTGGGTGTGCGTATGTTGTGATGGGCTGTGTGTACATGTTACGGTGTTGCGTGTAGGGGTGGGGGGGCATGTGTTGTGTTGTGTGTATACACAGCCCACCACAACATACACAAACTCAGCACTGTGGAGACTCAGCACCACAACACACACCGCACCACGCGCACACACAGCATCACAACATGTATACACAGCCTACAACATACGTACACTCGGCACCACAAATACACAGAGCACCACATCACTCGCCCCGCCACACACACACACAACCCCAAACCATATACACCCAGCACCACGCATACACAGTGCCGCAACACACACCCCACCACACAGAGACATACACCCCCCACCACCCCAGGTACACAGAGCACCACATCACTCGCCCCGCCACACACACACACACAACCCCAAACCATATACACCCAGCACCACGCATACACAGTGCCGCAACACACACCCCACCACACAGAGACATACACCCCCCACCACCCCAGATACACAGAGCACCACAACATCCCCCACACCACACATACACCCCATCACACACACCCCCGCCACATATACACACACAGCCATAACACAGGCACCGCACATGCCCCCCGCTGCACACACGCACGCCACTGCAACCTGCACCCTGGCACGGTGCCCGCAGCCCCCAGACCCCTCGGTGGGACCCGGTGGCCCCCCACACCCAGCTGAGGACCACCCCGCCAACGGAGGGGCTCAGAGCCCATGTGGGCACGTGGTGGGTCCACGGCTCCTAGCTGCAGTGCCCATCACCCTGGCGTCTGGGCTCCAGAGCTTGAGATGCTGGGGGTGCAATACCCCCACGGGGCCCAATACCCCCCATGGCCCAGCCAGGCTGCACCCATGGCCCAGCCAGACTCACCACCCCCCCGGCGGCGCCCGTGCCAGCTGCAGTAACGGTCCCGTGGGGCGGCGGCAGCCTTTCAGGGGAGATAAGTGCCCATGGCGTGCCTGGCACCAACCCCGGGTCTGGGAGATTAGCAACCACTGGCTGTGGGTGGCTGGACAACTGATAGCAAACAGCCCCTCCGCTAGCGCCCTCCCCCAGCAGCCTTGGTCATGTCCCTTAGCCTCTCTAAAGGACATGACCGAGTGGAGGGAAGTGACACGCTCGTGCATACATGGAAGGGCACAGGCACTCAGAGCAGGGCAGAGGGGAGGCCTCCAACCTCATTGCCCAGGTGGGGAAACTGAGGTACAGGCAGCAAAGTGACCTGCCTGAGGCCTCACTAGCCATCAGAAGCGGAGCAGGAACCTGGACCCAGGACCCCCCTCCCTGCCTGGGCCATAGATAGGGGGACAACACCACCATGGGGGCAAGTGGGGGAGAAAGGAGAGATGCAAACAGACCCCCCCAGCCCTGTACCGTGGCCCTCATGCCGGGCCCAGGCTCACTTACCGGCTCATGGGTGACAGGCGGCGAGCAAGGCGTGGCAGCCTAGGAGCAAACACAGAGAGGGCTGGCGTTAGCAGTGCCAAGTCTGCCCTCGTCGGAGGCCCACCCCTCCCGTCGCCGCCCTGAGGGTCTCACCAGGGCGAAGGGGGGAAGAGGAGGAGTCTTCCTGACCCCCGGCTGCGAGGGGCCCAGGAGCACGCGGGTGCAGTTCGCGTCCCCGCCAGGCCCCAGGGGCAGGCAAGGACAGGCCCACAGACAGACAGCCCCAGGCCAGCGGGCACGCGAGCGTGGTCTGCCCCCAGCCACAGCTGGCCAAGGCCAAACAGCACTCGGAGACGCCCCACAAGGATGTCTCGGGCCCCCGGAGCCAGGGCCACGGCCAGGCCCCCAGGGCCGGGGGGGCCAAGACCTACCCCAGCTTCATTAGCTGCAGCTCGTTAGCTGACAGCTCCCCCCACCCCAGAGCCGGGACTTTCTCCCTGGGTTTTTTTAATGCACTTTTAATGGAGAAACGCGACCATATAAGGCGGCTCAGCCTCCCCGCAGGGCTGGCGCGGGGCCACGGCGCGCCTGGAATGTGCCTCTCGCCGGCCGGAGGGGCTGGGACGCGGGTCCACGCGCCCGCCCCAGCCCCAGGGAGGGAGGCCCCAGCCGGGGGGCTGGGAGTCACGCTGCAGGGGGCTGAGACCGGACACAGCTCGGGACAGGAGGGGGCAGCTACTGTCTCAAGGTGTGGGGGGAAGGCATGACCCGTAGCGCCCCCTAGTGGGGGCTGGCAAGGGGCACTCCGTGAGGTCACCGCAGTGATGTCATCAGGGCTGGGTCATGACATCACAGCTTCCCCACGGAAGGAAACAGCCCGCAGTGGCCCCGGCCAGGATTTGAACCCAGGGCCTAAGGCAGGAGGGGACCCTGTGGGCTCTGCACCCCCCCCCACCCCAGACTGCCCCCACAGGTGGGTAGGAGCGGGGAGACCTGGGCATCCACCCCTTCCTCTGCCACAGGCTCACCAAGCGGCCTTAGGTGTGCCTCTTTGCCTCTGTTTGCCCCTTCTGTGAAATGGGCTGACAGCACTTCCCAGGGGCCAGGATGGCAACTGCATGGGAGCACAGAGTGAGAGGAGCCCTGGAGAGGCAGAGATGCCTCAGCTGGGGGGACAAGGGGGATCATCAATCCCACAGCCTTCCTCCCCAAGGGAGAACCAGTTGGGTGCAGCAGCTCCCTCGGGCCGGCTAAGAGACAGGACCAGAGATGCAAGGCAGGGCAGTAGCAGAGCCCCAAGCTGCTCTATCTCCGTCTGAACCCACCCAGCCAAACCCTGTCTGTGACCTCGGACCCACACGACACCGTCGCCCCTGACACAGCCGCAGGCATCGCCCCCGCCCCGCCCCCGGGACACAGGGGGACGTGGCCCAACGTCCTGCTGCTGCCAGGGGGGTTTGTGGGTGCTTGGGAGAGCCCAGGCCCAGGCCGTGCCCCCGCTGCAGAGGGTGGAAAACCTCCCCTGGCCAGACCAGGCTGAGCAGGGGGCAAATCCCTGCCTGCCCCCCCAAGGCACCGTGAGCGGGGGGCAAAAGTCTGCAGGCAGGAACCTGCAGGGTTTGGCTCGCACTGCCCAGCTCAACTCGTGACTTGGGGCTCAGTCATGTGCCCAGGCTGGGCTGGGCTCGGCCCTCTCAGGCAGGGACGACGTGCTCTCTCCCCATGCCTCAGTTTCCCTCCCCGGCCGCACCCATTGCACAAGTGCCATGCAACCCCCACCCTGCACCTTCAGGGACCCCAGCTGCGCCTGCAGGAGCCCGAATCCCTTTGCAAGGCAGCCGCCAGCCTGAAGCGGGCCCCGTGAGGCAGGGGGCACCGGGGCATGGGAGCTGGCACCGGACCCGGCTCCGGGGCAGCATGCAGAGGTCGCGGGCACACCGAGCGGACCGCCAGGGACCCCAGCTCGCAGCTCACGCGGCCAGCGCACGCGGAGCGCAGGAAGGAAGGAAGGAAGCTGACGGGCTGTGGCGTGAGTCGGAGGGGCCGGGAAAGGCCTGGGCGGCACCGGGACCCCCCCTCCCACCTTGGCCCAGAGCCCCCCTGCAGGGGCAGGAGAAGCCCCCCAGCCCAGGAGTCCGGGGCCTGCATTGCCTTCAGCGCCTGGAGGGGCGAGACCCTGCAGCCAGGGCCAAGGCCACCCTGGGCATCCGGACCCTAGAGCCAACTTGGAGGTCCCGCAACAGCCCCCACCCTGAGCCCGCAAGGGGCTGGCAGCAGGGGAGTCTGGGTCCGGATTAGGGGCCGCGATCGAGCCCTGGACGCCGAGAGGGGAGCGCGGAGACCTGCGTGGACTAGCCCATGCACAGGTACACACATGTGCACACACTACACACGGTGCACACATACGTACATGCATGTACATACATGCGCCGGCTAAGAGACAGGACTATGCGCATGCTGGTATATATATGCATACATGTGCATGCATGCGCACGTGCACACGCACACTAGTGTGTACTTGCATACACAAATTTGCATGCACATGTGCACACCAGCAGGTACGTGCACACCAGCAGGTACGTGCATGCACACACACAAACGCACACGTCTGCACACATTCACACACGTACATGCAGTTCCCTGGCAGATGGAAAGCGCATGCACGCATGTGTGCCCACACGTGCACTGGAGGTGACAGGACAGGAGCAGCTCCCTCGGCCCCACTCCATGCCAGCCCCCCGCCAGTCAGACGCCCCCAAGGACACGGGAGAGACCTTGCCCTGCCTGTGCTCCTTGCCAGCCCAGAGCCGGGTCCAGCACCGGTCACGCCAGCCTGGCCCCGGCCCCGCACCCACGGGAGGGCACCGTGCCCAGCGATGCCAGCCCAAGGCTGCCTGCTCTACACCAGAGGGAAGCAGGGAGGGAGGCGCTGCCGGGGCTGGGCCAAGCTGCCTGCAGGGCCTAAAAAGGCAGCGTTTCCCCGGCCCTGGCTCCGGCCCCAGCCCTCGCCCGGCCACTGGTTCGAGGCCAGGCCCCACGCCATTGTGCCAGGGCGCCCTCCTCCACACCCACAAGGGAGCAAGGGTTCGGGCAGAGCACGGCCTTCAAGGGGAGCCCTCAGCACCGCCTTGACATCGGCCTTGACGGAGCAGATGCTGCGGCCAAAGCAGGAAGTTCCACCTCCAGGAGGCGGGACTTCCTGAAGCGCCCCTTGGCCTGGGCCCCGGGACAGTCGAAGACGCCCCAGCCTGGAGCACCCTGGGCTGGGGACGTGCCAGCAACACCCAAACCTGACACAGGACAAGAGCATCGTCCCTGCCCAGCCGCCATCCCAGTTCTCCCAGTCCCGATGCGAAACCAGAGCCTTCGCCGGCCACCCGGTACCCCGGGAGGATGCTGCAGCCACATCCTGACCAGGCCGTGGGGTCCTGTCCCAAACCCGGGACCCCCACAACCACCACGTCCGCCAGCAGAGACCCTGGGGCGGGCACCCAGACCAGCCCAGGGACTCCCCATGGGCCCCGGGCAGCTCCCGCACGCGGGGCTGGGCCTGGAGCTGCCCCCGAGCCATGACTCAGTGCTGCCGCGTGGGGGTGACAACACCGTCCCCGGGGGTCCCCGCCCAACAGCGAGCAGCTGAGTCACGGGGGCCCCGATCCTTGACCAATGCCAGGGACAACGCCCGGTGCTGACGGGGGGAGCAGCTACGAGCGGGGTGGGGGACGTGGCTCTGGCTGCCTTTGCCTTTATTAGGAGACGCCGCCGGGGCCTCGAGTCTGGAGCCGCCCCCAGCCGGGGGCGGGGGGACGTCAACACCCGGGGCTGCAGCGCTGGAGCTGCCCAAGCCCCCTTCAGCCTCCCCACCCCAGCCACAGCTGCATGCACCCCCTTCGCCCCCCCCAGGAAATGGGGACAGAGCTGGGTGCCCTGCAGGTCCAGGCTGAGACCCTCCCAACTCATTGCATGCCCGGAGGCCGCTCCCTTGCCCTGGGGGGGCCACAGCTCCAGCTCCCCGTGCCTCCGGGGCTGCTTTCCTGCCTCTTCCTCCAGGAACAGGGCAGAAAACAGCTACACGGAGCTGGCCCTGGACCCCGGCCGGGCCTGGCCCTGCCCTTCCCTGCTCCTGGGGGGGCCCAGCAAGCAGCTCCTGGCACCAGGCACTCATTAACCCGGGTGAGCTATTGCTGCCCCCACCAAGCTGGGAGAGGCAGGCACCCCCCAGGTGGGGGGCATGGGCCCACGGCTTAACCCTTAGCTGGCCCTGGGCTTGGGGGGGACCAGACCCACCAATTGGATGATGTCAGGGAGGGGGTGGGAGCTGGAGGGGGGCAAAGGTCTGGGAAAAACACTGTGCTTCCGAGGGATTTCCGCTCCCCCAGCTCAGAGCAGCCCCTAGGGGCCGTGCACACGCGTGTGCGTGCGTGCATGCGTGCACATATGCGGCGCCTACTCCCCGGGGTGCACCGAGGCACCGGCAGGTGCAGAGATGCAGCCCCACTGCCTCCCCCCCACTCTCCCAGTGCCAGCTGCACCCGCTTGTGCCCCCCTCCCGGCCACTGGCAACGGGCTGCCCACCCTCCCCAGCCCAGACCCCAGGGTGAGGGGCACCCCGGAGGGACGCCCGCCTCACCAATGCCACGGACGATGCTGGCAGCAGGGCGGCCCCGAGCCCAGCCAGCCCACATCCAGGTACCGCCCAAGGGGTTTGGGCACCCTCCTGGCCAAACAGGCCTCTCCCTGCTGCTGACGCAGCCCCCCTGCCCCAGGACACTGCGCCCCGCCACCGCAGCCTCCAACCTGCTTCATGACACTGGCGAAGTCCATGGGGCTCTAGCGCCCGCAGCCGGGCAGCTCCATGCGACGAGGCCGGGGCGTGGGAGCGGCGGTGGCGGGAGCGTGAGGCGTGCGGTGGCCCGAGCCAGGCAGGACTGAGCCGGACGCGGGGGCTGGTCCTGTCTCCACCTCACTCCAGAGCCGCTCGGCTGCGCCGGGCTTTTTTTTTTTTTTTTTTTTT